TTAGATCAGTCAAATATTTGTAAAAATATATTTAGTCTCACATTTGAAGTACTTTACAGAAAAAACTGTTAAACAAATGTGAGTCTGTAAAAGAATGACTGCTATGTTTAAAACTCTGCAAAGGTTTCTGTGAAGGACTCGAGAGAATGTGTGTCGATATAAAACACAGATGAAGCTCCTGTAGTAAAGTTTCTCTTCTCTTTGTGTCATTAGTGTAAGATCAGGCTCACATGTGTCTGTGAAGAGTGACCGGTCAAAGGGTGATAACATGCCGAACTTCAGTGAGAAAAAAACATCTATCAAAAGGTATTTATTATCTTTGAAATTATAATGTTGTGTTGGCTTATTTCTCCACTAAGATGCTTGTGATAGAAATGAATGAAATAAATCAATAAATCACTGATTTCCTCTTTATTGAACTCAGTCTGGAGCTTCTTTCCAGTAACACAATTACACAAGCAGCCACAAGGAGGTATAAATTAACCATGAAAAATAGATCATGCAGCCAAACATGAATATGTCTTTCCATCTCTCCATAGTCATAGATGAACAAATGCATGTCTATACTGAGCTTAATTACCATCCTCAACAGTAAAGCTCTTTAAATGAGACTGAAGGAGCTCCTGTGGTAAAGTGTTTTGTTCTTTGTGTCATTAGTGTAAGATCAGGCTCACATGTGTCTGTGAAGAGTGACGAGTCAAAGGATGAAGCACCAAACTTCAGTGAAGAAACAACACGAAGCAAACGGTATTTGATGTGTTTCTTATTTTTCTTTAAACATAGACTGTGTCAGAAAGTGTATCAGCGAATAATTATCATAAAACTTATAGTCCATAAATTTATCACAGTATTGTTTTTCTCTTTGCTAAAAATGTTTACGAGATATTTTGGTCATATTTGTTTCCTAAAAAATGCAGTATTTTGATTTATTTTATTTACTATCAGGCTTCAGTATGAAACATTAGATCCAGATTTACAGTCTCACAGGAACCACAAGAATTTTACAGACAGTCTCCTGCAGATCTTCCAGGTAATAAAACACATTTTCAGGAATATTTAATGATTATAATAAACAAATATGTTATTGAATAAGAGTGTGACAGAACTTTTATTTCAAATTTTTCTTTTTAAGAACCCATAAAATAAAAATGATAATTGTAATTATTATTTACAGCTAATTA